TGCAGGAGACGAAGATTAAACATAGTTATTGGCTTTCTTTTCGGTCGATAAGTCTTCTTTCGTTATTTGGCTCCCTGATCGTTCCAACAACACAATCAAACTGATATGACTCGCTCCGTCTGGCGGCCTTCCTGACGGGCTGATCGCAGGAGAACCGCTAGGGTTTTCGATATTATCAATGGGAAGAACGCTATGGGAATCAGAGAGAATCATGGGAGAAAAAATATAAAATTTAATAATGAGGTAGTTTTGTACTTTTGTTTTGACTGGATTGAAACCAAAAAAAATAAAAAATAATGGAAAAATAATAAAAAATAAAAATATAGGAAAGAAAGAGGAAGAATGGAAAATAAAAAAATATTTATTTTTAATTTCTTTAGTACTTTTTTTTTATTTTTCTAATTATTTTTATTTTAATCTTATTTCTTTTATGTTGCTCATTTCTTATAGATAATTATGATTGATTTTTTAATAAAATATAACAAATTTAATGAAATCATAAGTACTTGAAGGTAATTTTATCATATGTTATAAAAATTATCTTTAATCTTTAAATGATTTCCTATTTTTAAATTTTTTTATTTACAATTTCCTTTAATTTGTCTATTTTATTAGTGGTTATTAACAATCATAAAAGGACTAAAATCTACAAATATCTATGTCTTGGTCTCTTTTAGAAAAATCAACATTTTACCTCTCATATTTTATATTCTTTTCAATTTGATTATTAGCTTTAATTTTTATTTTTATTTTTATTTTTTGACAATTGCCTTAACTTTAATTTTAATACTTCTTCACAAAACAAACATTTCATACCTCACTTAGTCCATTATTATTCATTAAATCTAACAATGAATTAAATATTTGATATTAAAATAATATTCATTATCAAATTTAGCCAAAATATAACATCGTAAAACTTGGGGTGTTACATGACACAAATCTCATATAAAATAGTAATTACAATGGAACATAAGAAAGTAACATGAACATTAAAAAATACAACAACATGTGAAAATATACATAAATAAATTATTTTTATAATCTAAATATATGAAAAATGAAACAAATACAAGTTTTTTTATAATTAAATACCTAAATTGACTACTCCCCCTCTTCCATTTTCTTCTTCTTTACAATGTGTCAATTTTATTGATCAATATAACTTTTTATTCCTTAATTTTGTTTAATCAACGGCGACACTAGTTTTGATGTTGTTGTCGCCCTCCAGTTATCTTTTTTCTTTTCTATTTTTAGTTTTCTAATAAGAACAATTATGTATTTGTTACATGTTCTCTGTCTTTATGGCACGTTTATCTCTACCTTCGTGGCACATTTTTTTTCCTTTTGGTAGCTTATGATTCTTTTAGTATATATATATATATATATATATATATATATATATACCTAAATTGATTCCATACCATATTCAAAATCCTTGATATAATTTTTAGGGTAAACTACATAAATAAACACATAATTATGGGCTAGGTCGCGAAATGACCATAATTTTCAAATTTGCATCAATATGACCACTAAATTATATAAATGATTTCAATATAGCCACAATGTTAACGGAAGTGTCTACGTGGAAGATAACAAAATTGGTATAATTAAGGCACAAGTCCTTGTAAAGTTATGCATTCGCAGCGCTGGAACTCTGCTTTGTTTTCTTCCACTTTGGTCACTGCTTGTGAGTGATTTGTTTTCTTGGATTTTCATTTAATGCAATTTGATCCTGATTCTATTTTTAATTTGTCTAATGAATTAATTTGAGCATTAACATTAAATTTTTTTATTCTAGTCATGTATTAAATTTATAGATTAAATCCCTTAGATTTTAAAATTAATCAATTTGATCAGCAATATTAACTTTAATTCTTAATTTTGTCCTAATTTCAATTTAATTTAATAAATTCATTTCTCCAATCAAATTGTGACACGTGTCACTATCTAATTAGAGGTTTTTTAATTTAATAAATTTTCAATCCAATCAAAAGGAGACACATGCCACCTTTTGAATTGAAGTGAAAATAAATAAAGATGCATTTTAACACCCAAGGGAATCCAACTTGAGTCCCAAAGGTAACCTGCACATGCCTTAACCACTAAACTAATTCTCACGCTTGTTATTGAGATAATACATATGTTATATAACTTGTTCAAGTTTAGGCAAAAAAAATCAAAATAACTTAATTGGATTTGAACACAAAATTAATTAGTAATCAAGCAAGCCTTAACCAATAAGCTAACTCCAATATTTAGGATTCAATTATAATATTATATATATATATATATATATATATATATATATATATATATATATTGTAGTTAATGATAAAAAATAAAAACGGATAAGTTAGGCTAATTGAGAATATGACAACACTTAAATTAATAAAATAAATCTAATAGTTTATTTATAATTCTTTTAAGATTTTAATATTTTTAAACTAAATTTATTGTTTTCATATTTATATGAAATGATTATATATATATGAAATCACTAAAAAATAATTTAATATTCAAATTATAATATATATAATATTATAGTTAATGATAAAAATATATATTATATATATTATAGTTAATATTCAAATTATAATCATAAGATTGTGACATGTGTCATAATTTCATTAGAGAAATAAATTTGTTAAATTAAATTGAAATTAGGACCTGATTAAAAATTAAGAATTAAAGTTAATCTTGGTGATCAAATTGATTAATTCTAAAATCCAGGGAATTTAATCTATAAATTTAATACATGACTAGAATAAAAGATTTAAAATTAATGCTCAGTTAAGGCATTAGACAAATTAAAAATAAAATCAGGATCAAATTGCATTAAATGAATCCAATGAAACAAATCATACACAAATAGTGTCCAAAATGAAAGAAAACAAAGCAAAGTTTCAGCACTACGAATACGTAACTTTACAAGGATCCGTGCTTTGATTATACTAATTTTGTTAACTGCCATATAGACACTTCCGTTAAGTGTTAACGACGGGTGGTTTTATTGAAATCATTTAAATAGTTCAATGGTCATATTGAAACAAATTTGAAAATGGTGGTCATTCATGACCCAATCCATAGTTATGTATCATTTATGTAGTTTACCCTAATTTTATTACTCTTAACTCAGCTGTCCTCAATAAAGTACCGCTAAAAGTTCAATCGAGTAATCTCATTCTCATTTAATTGGAGAATTACTTTTACTTAGATATAGATAGATAAAAAATATTAAACCATACAAATAATTAAATATGATTATTTATATGTAATTGTTGAACCATGTTTTATAATATTTTGATATAACAAATTAAGGCAAAATATTTTTGAACTTGATTGAATTTGTTCAAAGCTTTTCAAAAATAATTCAAAGTCCATTAAACTAGAATTTGATAACAAAACAGTTTTCTGAGTACGTAGTACCGATACTGTTCTTACAATATCGATACCACATAAACAGTATCGATATTGTTTATGTGGTACCGATACCAAAGGTAAGAGAAGTATCGATTATCTATAGGTAGCATCGATACTACCAATTGTTTTCCAAACGACTCAAATTCCAGAATGCAAAATAGGTATCGATACTCAAGGGGTATCGATACGACTTTACATAGTGGTATCGATACCATGAAGCATAGTATTGATACTAGTAAAGCCCAACGGTCTTTAACAGTTAGTTTATTTAAATATTATAAAGGTGGTACTAATACTCATGAAAGGAGCATCGATACTCCATATTCTGGGTAGTTTTATTTTGCAGAAAATTAATCCCAACGGCTCCAAAACATCCCCAATGGCTAGAAACGACCAAAAACTCATTCTAATATATAAAAACAAGTTGAAGACACTTGAAGAAAGTTGGACAACACCTATCCAAGAAACAGTGATCAAGAGAAAAACTTTTTTCACTCTTTATTTTTCCTTTTCTCTTATACATATATGTTTGAGCTCATTGCAAATCTTTTAATTGTTTTTCTTGTGAGCTTAATCTTTGTAAACACCTACCTTTGTAAGGTTTTCTTGATTACTTCTTTTAACCTTTGTAAAGGGGATTTGTTCTAGCTTAGCCTTTAAAAGCTAGAGAGTTGTAAAGATTATCTCTTTGTCTTGGAAAAAGAAAGAACAAATTAGCAGATTTGTTAGAAAATCCTAAGTGAGATTGGTTGAGAAGTCGAACCACTATAAATCCTTGTGCAAATTGTTTCATCTTGATACTCCTTACTCCCTAAATTCAAAAATTCAATTTCCCCCTCTTGAAAAATTATTCGGTTAATCAATTTGAACTTCATCAATCCTAACTTTAATGAAAAAGCATAAAATTGATTTATTTTTTAAAAGAATAAAGTACACAAATAGTTTTTCGATTAGGACATTATTTTGTCGATTTTTCTTATTATTAAAAATTATACAGTAGTATCTTAATTATAATATTGTTTTGTTGAGTCCCTCTACTATTAAGTTACAAATATCACCTGAATATTCCTATGTTCTAAATTTGTCATTTTTCATTTAAAAATTGAAGATCATATGAGTTGGACGTTAACCTGCTGATTGAGATATGATAAAATCATAATTTAATATGTCTACTTACACTGCCGTTGCTTTTAAGCACTGCTTTCTGACTTGACGAGATAATGTTCCAGACATTGACTCGATGCCATAATATAAACTCAAACGATTTTTTAATCAGATTTTATCATGTCTTAGTCAACAACTTAACGTCTAACTCAAACGATAGTCAAATTTTTAAAAGAAAAAGACGTGTCTGTAACTTATGAATAATCCACTTTTAACAATATAATGGATCATTTATATACTTTACCTTATAAAAAATTTAAAATTCATAAAATATTATTAAACACAAAACAATAAAAAAAATAGTGTTGTCCAAATTGTGTTGGGCAGTAATTGTGGGGGCAAAGTAGGGTTTAGCCTTAAGGTTTGGAGGAAGGGGTTCTGTTTGTTGTGTGACGATGATCCCCCTATTCTTACGATCGCTTTTGCCGCTCACCCGCTTGTGTAAACACAATCCTACTTCTATGCTCTCTTCCTTCCCCCACACACTCTTTCTCTACCTTCTCTCTCTTTCTCTCATATTCTCTCTCCCCCCCCTCTGGTTCTCTCTTCCATGGCTGAATAATCAACCCAATCCCCCCACTTTTATGACGTTTTGCATCATGCGCTTTCAACTCGTCGTTTGATTTTTTTTTTCTTCATTTGGGTATGCCCTTTTCTTTCTTTCTTGCAAGTTTATGAACCCAAAAGCACAAAAGCAGATAAAAAAAAGATCATTACATGAATTTTAAAGTGGGTTTCTTTTTCTGGGTTCATTTAGTTTGATCATATTTGTTTCAGCTTCTACACTAATATGATGACTACTGCTCACTATTTTTTTTGAAAGGCACAAAGGAGGTGTTTTTATTGTGGTCATCGCATAAATTTCATTAATTGAAGTATATTCCATGGGACTCCAACACTCAATTATGAGATTTTTGAAAATGCAGGATGGGAAGGGTTAAGCTAAAGATAAAGAAGTTAGAGAACCCAAATGGCCGTCAGGCGACCTATGCCAAAAGGAAGCATGGCATCGTGAAAAAAGCTAATGAGCTATCTATCCTATGTGATGTAGAAATTGTTCTCCTTATGTTCTCCCCAACTAACAAGCCTTCCTTGTGCATTGGGAAGCGCAGGTATCCATTCCATTATCACCTTTTTCTTCTTCATATACTTAGCTTTGAACAGGATTGATAGATAGCGGTTCGAATTGGATTAGTGTAGTGCTTGCAAACATCTTTTTGGTGAAGCATTGGCATCAACTGTTTAATGATGAATATCAACTCAGATGTTGACTTATAGTTTATAATGTTGATAATTTGTCTCAACGATCGTCGTTGTCGAAAGGGGCAGGCTCTGGTTTTACCATTTTCTCTTAGGAGCAATAACTAGGAAGTGATTAAATATTTGTTATTGTTCTTTAGGAAGTGTTCACATACAAAAAATAAGGCAGTTGCTATAACTTGGTTTTGCCTTTGAGAGACGCATGATAGTTACAAAATATGCAAAGGTGTGCAAGTATATTATAACATAGTGAAGTAGACGATGCAGCTCCCAACATGTTACTAATGTGGTGGAATTTCAGAGTTTCCTTAAGATTTGCTCGAACACCACTGATAAACTTTTCATATATGTATATATATATAAGGCTAACATTTATGGTAGGCACATTCATTTATTTTATTCTACTGTGTGAACCCGGCAGCATTGAGGAGATCATTGAAAAGTTCGCTCAACTCACTCCACAGGAACGAGCTAAAAGGTGTGGCTGCATTTTCTGAGTTGACAATCACCTTATTTATCTTTCATTCTTAACAGTTTAATGTTATACTTATTGAAATGAAATTTACTGGCATTCTCATTCCTCTTTTTACTGGAACAGAAAATTGGAAAGCCTTGAAGTAAGTTGTTTCCTAGACTCGCTCTCTTTTAGAATGTTACGATCTTTGTTTGCTTTTTATCATTTTCTTGCATGCACGAAACATCGTCATTCTTATCAATTACATAGTTTCTTTTCTCTTTGAGAGTCTAGGCACTGAAAAAAACATTCAAGAAGTTGGACCATGATGTAAATATTCATGAATATCTGGGTACAAGGTGCACATTGATCTTCTTCTTCTCAGCACAAATGTCTCCTAGTATAGTTCATTCATCTGCTTCAATTCTACAATATATTTCTATTAGTATTATGACTTATTCTTTTTTCCCGTTTTCCCTAGCACACAGACAATAGAGGTATGTATGGATGTGACTTGTTACCTTGATGGATAATGATAATTCAAAATACCAAGACCATGTTAATCTTCATTCTGACATGCTTTTCGATATCTCTATGATTTCTATGTGCAGGACCTGACTAACCAAGCAAGACTATTACAGACTCGCCTTTCTGAAGTACACAGGAGACTAAGGTGAGATGCAGAGTTTAGTTTTTGTGTTATTATTATCTGGTAAATATGCTATCTGTCAACTTTTGCTAATATTAGTATTGGCTTCTCAGCTGTTGGACTAACATAGACAAGATCAACAATGTAGAACAATTGGGGCAAATGGAAGATTCACTCGAGGAATCCCTAAATCAAATTCAAGCCCATAAGGTATGCCATGTTCCTGTGTAGTTAGTTTTTTCATAGAAAATGATAAGAGTGCTCTCCCAGGGGCATGTGTGGAAGTTGCTAAAAAAACAGTAATTTGCTGTGCAACGTGAACTGATGAGTGCCACTGGAAACTACATGAAGTTGTGATCCTCTCTCTGAAAGATTAAATAATGAGCGCCAAATATGTTCGTACACTACAGACTCTTACCTTATCTACCTTCTTTTGGCAGGAAAATTTAGGAAAGCAGCAGCAGCTTCTGTCGTTAGAATGCACAAGTCAGGTAAGAATGTGTGATATGCTCTGAATGTTTTACTGCTTTATATATTCCTTAAAAGTCACAAGAATATGGTATCTTAACAAGCCTTTCTCTTGCAGTTCCGAAATGAAATGCAGGTACCCTATAGCATGGGCATTGAACAACTCCAAAATCTTGCATGGATGCCTACTCATGACAGTAGACATATGGCCTTGTCAGATGACCTGAATTGGATTCCCCACAGGTGAGTAGGTTTTCTAGAAATATTTTGTAAAACACAAGACGAAGATGTTGGTATGTAATGTAGATCACAAGTGGCATGGCAGATTATTGTCAGTTTCTACATTTTTTGTTTGTTTATGGAAATGACCTTTGACAATATTATGGTACCAGAGATGTGGAGGGCTCTGCAAGTTCCTCCTTTGGAAGTTATTCGGGTTACTTTGGGACCGGAAAAAGTTCTGATCTATCAAGTTCTGGACAAGAAAACAGTGTCCTGAATGATTTGAACGGAAACAGATCGTTGCAGCTGCAACTGGGTGGACAGTGCCCCTTCTTCTCGTACACTCTTAATACACTGAATGATGCCAAGTTCCCTCCTGTGGCAGAGATGAATTTTCATGAAACTCCTGCAGATTATCATGTTAATGGTGGTTTTGTACAAGGTCCCGGAACTGGATACGATACTACCCCTGGTAGTTGGCCTTCCACGTCTGGCCCCTGTGCCTTTACCATGTTTGATGAGCCATTGTATTCCCGAGTAAGTCTTGCCCCCTTTCCTCCCACTATGCTTTTGAATTTCGATTCTCGAGCACGTTTGCATGTCACCCCACTACTTCATACATGCAGCAGCTTCAACATCATTGAGCAATCCAGGGGTTTATACATGACTTTTAAGAATTATGGACACGCTATACGGATACGACACAACACGGACTCAGCGATGCAGAGCTATCCGAAAAAATTAGGACACCACAATGAGAAATATTACGAATATATATGTATTGATATACAATGAAAATGTAAGATTGATATTTGTCCAATTGGACCCTTTTATAAAAAGGAAAAAAGTTTCAGGAAAAAAGTTAAATTCAATGTTCTGTTTTGACCCCACAAATCGAAGGTGTATCACACTGGATGTAAACGTATAGGTTCGTCAAATCACGCCATTGAAACTGACGATAATGATAAAGCTAAAAGAGGGAATATGGTGATGGTGTGGAGGAGGAGAAATGGGCGTTGTGTTAATTCACGTGGCTGACTCCTCATGATATCGCCTCTTCGGCTACTGTAACTGTTACCATTAGGGTAAATTACGCAAATGATCTTTTGATTTTAGGATGTTATTTCGTTGAGTATCATATTTCTTAAAAGTTATAAAATGATCATTCGATTATTCGTACGTTTTAAACTTCTCTTTTTGTTAAAAAAATTTACGGTAGTCTAAGCTGAATGTTAACATGTTGATTGTGATATGATAAAATTTGATCTCAAAATCTCAAACAACTATCGTATCTTAGTCAACGGGTTAACATCCAGTTCATATTGTCATTAATTTTTAACGAAAATGATGAGTTTGGAATATATGAAAAGTCGGATGACAATTTTATAACTTTTAGTAGTTAAATGACTTAACAAAGTTTCACTCTATAGTCAAAAGACTATTTTATAATTTTCAATAGTAGAGTGACACAACAAAGTAATGCCTTGTAATTAAAGGATTTGTGTGTACTTCATCCTTATATAATAACACACAAGTGAAGTTTCTAAGAAACTTCGTGCTTGCTTGCTTCAAATTCAAAGGGTTTTAGTTTTGAGAATTTTAAACTTTTAATTTTATAGTATAAATATTTTGTTTAAATATATTCATATTTTTATTAATTTAAGGTAATTACAAGTAATAGTATCTATTTTAGAGATTCTCAATTATATAACAATAAACGCTCAAATATCTTATAGTCACGGAAGCTTGAACTCGGAATCTAAACTCTAAAAATAACAATAAATTCTTTAATCATTAAAATCGTTTAATTCATACAAATATATATTTATTCTAATTATCAATTTGATTATATTTTATAATAATTTAATTTATGATAATTTTTCACATATGAATTATTTATATTTGTACTTGGTGCTTATAAATATACTCGAAAGAAAACTCAATGAATACGTGAAGTTGAAGTGAAATGTTTAATATTAATATATAATTATTAATTTGAGATTTTTTATTATACATAATTTTAATTTTTATACCATGGAATGAATGGTAACATATACTTTTGATTGAAGGTTGTTCAAATCACTTGGTAGTTTTATCACACACCAAAGAGTAGAAACGAACATGGGAACATAGTAAATAGTAATAGTAAATCAGCATTACCAGTGGTAATTGCAAACTTTTCAAATTACTCTCCTACATATACAAGATCAAATTGAGCTTACAAGCCAATACAATGCTGCTTTTCAACATCCCAATGGCCAAAACAAAATAAGACCTAATAGGTTAATTGGCGGGTGGTAAATGTCCACCTCCTCCAACGCAAGGAAAAATTACCCTTACAATACTTGTAAAAAAAGGGTATCTTCCTTTAATTAGGACACTACCCCAACAATAAAACTGAAAACCCAAAATGGTAAAAAGACTATTTTAAAATAAGCCCTTTCACAATTCTGACCCCAAGAGTCCCATTATAGGGCTCTATAGGTATTAGTATGCTAGCCAGATATACTAAAAAATCAAGCCAGTTGAACACGGTAAAACTTTCGAGATAATGTTCTGAAAGAAATTAATTCACAAGCTAATGCACTCCCAAGATTAATTGTTCAAATAGGGTGAAATCCACAGTGTTGGCCGTAGGTCGCCATGCACTCCGGGCGACCTACCCTTGCTCAAACAGAGAGAATGAACGTGAGAATGAACGTGTTGCATGGCACATGCACGTCCCAACACATAGGTCGCCATGCCCTCCGGGCGACCTTGTAGGTCGCCATGCACTCCGGGTGACCTACCCTCGCTCGGCTTCCTTCGGATTCCCCCGCATAGCTCGCTCGGTTGCCCTCGTATAGCTCGTTCGGATGGCCTCGGATGCTCTCAGATGGCCTCGGTCGGATGGCCTCGGATGCCCAGCGTGTTGGGACGTGCATGGCACATGCAATCTCTTGTAGCTCGCCGGGAAGACATGGCGACCTAGTAGGTCGCCCGGAAGGCATGGCGACCTACGGCCAACAGTGTGGATTTCACCTTATTTGAGCAATTAATCTTGGGAGTACTTTATCCCGTGAATTAATTTTTTCCAGAACATTATCTCGAAAGTTTTGCCGTTGAACACTGCTTTGAATATATACTGTATTTTGATCAAGCGACCTCCTCTAGCGGAATTGGGCACCAGTGAAGGTCTGCCCAAAGGACCAACCGGCTGGGGCAACGTTGTAGGACACCACGGTACTGCCATCACTGGTGGTGACCTTAAATGAGAGGCTTTGACCGTTGAGGTAGCTGTTGCTTTGCCAGTTCTGGCCCCAGTTCCGAGACATGGACTGCCAACCGGTCCTAGAGCCCTTGATGGCCACGGCGTGTACATCACCGGCACCGCCAACGTTGGTGATGAGGAATAGGTTGAAGTAGGAGTGGCCATTGATTGTGAACCTGATTCCTCCCTTTCTTCTACATGCAACCCTATAAATTTCAAAACCCCAACAAGAAGTGTTACTAACTGATGTTATTAAGCAGTTAAAAAAAAGGTAAAAACAAAAAAGCATTTACTGGAGGAAAGGGTAAAAAAGATGAGATTTTGGCATACCTTCTGTAAGCAACAGGCACAATTCCAGACCTGTATTATTCAATGTGTTGGAAAACAGGCTGAGAAAGGTCAAAGTGATGCAGGGGAGGTTGCACCAGCCTCCTGCATTATTCGGCAAAGCACTGTTGGGAGGGCAGAAATTGGTGGCCGTGACCAAAATGGAACCCGGCAGGCACCACTTGGCATCATTAACACACTTAATCTCATAGCACGACCCACAGCTCAGTCCATTGTTGAACAGAGCCGTGCTCAAAGCCGCGGTGTTCGTCCCATAGCCCTGGCTATACAGGTTCCCATAACCACAAGCTCCACCTGCAAAACCCAAAACTCAAAACAATTAATCAAACAAAAAGAAGCCCACTCATTGTAAAAAGTTGATTCATTTAGTGCCCCGTACCCATCGTCCCCGAAGCATCACTCCCACCATAGAACGTTGCATGTGCGTTAGTCCAACCACCACCATACCCATCAACAGCACACACCATTGCATGAAAACCCAACAAAAAGACCTTAGGAAAAGCCATTTCCCTGCAAAGAAAAAAAGTTAAAAGAAAAACCTTTGCAAGCAAAAAAAAAAAAAAACTCAAAATGGTAACATTTCTGAGATGGATAAGAAGATTACATGAAGAAGGAAGATGAGATGAATGTGAGGAAATGAGGAGAGGGTGGGGGGGGGGAATTTATAGAAAGGGTTAGCTAGAAGGGCACCGTTAGAAGCTTACAACTAGAACTAACTACCACTTTTTGGGCATTGGGGGACCAGACCCAAATTGTTTTTTTTTAATCGCTACATACAAAGGGTGGAGTCTGTGTACGCAGAGGCACATGGGGGGAGCTGTTTTGGCGAGTTGAAAATAGAAATCGCGTGGTTTTGTTGCTTTTTGAGTAGGAAATTGACTTAAAAATGCAAGTGGGGACATCTTTTTACCCTACTTACTGCATAGTGAACATCCCCTAGTTTCCACTTTTTGGGCATAGTATTATTCTCTTAGAATGTTGTAAGTTCGAACAATATCATTTATAAGGTGTGTATTATTATCAGTTATTAAAAAATATTTTAAATATATATTATTTTATAATTATTATTAAAAATTTGAGCAATTTGGAGATCCCGCCAAAACACATGGTTGTTTGTTAAACATCTACTTTGAATAGAGACATTAAGCTTTCTTCTTGCTTTGAACAATGGCGGTATTGATGGTACTCATAATTAATGCTTCATTTGAAAATTGGATCTTATCGTCTACCACCATCCTACTGTTAAATCATGGGATTATTCAGATTTTTAAGGGAAAAGTAATATGTTATCACTCAGTTCCAAAATAAAAGGCAAAGTGAAGGTGGTGGATGGATTTAATTATTTTTTGTGTGTGGATAAATAGATGGATTTAATTAATAGCTACTAATAAATTCTGTTTTTTGGTATTACAATGTAAGTATATTCATTCCAATGGTATTCCATCATATCCATTCATTCTTTCATTTAACAATATCAAATTCCTCGAAGTTTTTTTTTTTAAATAAAATTATGTTCAATTTTAAGGTGATATGTTTTTTTAGGTGATTCATATTCAAATAGAGTATATGTGTTATTTATAGAATTCGGTAATTTTATTAAAAATAGAAAATATTCAAATTACAATAAATGTTTACAACCACAATCTTGTAATTACCTAATTTTATCTGGTCAACTTTATTCAATTGAAAAGAAAATCATAGGATTAATGTAAAATGTTATCAAACAGATCCTCCTTTTATTAATATCATTTTAACTACTCTTAAATATATTTTTTATTATAATTCATTTTGTTCATTCTTTTCGGGTTATTTTTTTTAATTTTAAAATTTTGATTTAATTTACTTAATTGGCGTATTATATATACTTAATTTATGCAATATATTTTCCTTTAGTTTGTTTTCCCCCTTTTTTTTATATATGCTTTAGTTTCCTTTAATTTGTTTAATGCATGATAAACGTTTTACTTTTAGTTGCCTTTTTTATCTTTCTTTATTATTCTTTAGTTTTTCTCTTTTTTTAAAATGGAAATGAGGAAATTAAAAGTTAAACAAGCAGTCTACACGGGCTGAACTATCTCCATGCATATGATAACTCTCCAAAAGAATTTTTATTTATGATCTTTTTACTTAGGTTGAGATTGAACTTCAGTATTATTTACATTAAGGGAGTGAGCTTATAGAATTTGACCTAATTTTAATGTTTTTTTGTTGTAAACTGTACGCTGATGTTATAGCATTGCTTGAAGCTGTAGGGGATGTTGATCGGATGATGCACCAATGGCTGGAAAATATAGGAAAAACATATTTTTTATTGGTGGATGCTTTGACATTTGTGGATTATAAATAAGGCCTCCTTTCACATTTTTCACATTTCTCCTTCAACATTTCTTCATACCCATTTTACTATCTTCTTTTCTCCACTGGCCGTGGAGATTTGAGTCCGTCACTAGAGGAGTGCACTAACAGCAGTGGAGCAACAGTATAGTAGTGGTGACTGATCAGGGTCCAATCTTGTCTTCGTGTTATTTGCTAGAGAGAGGGATGAACTTTACTAAGTTTGGATAATTAATTTCATGTTTTTATTTGGTACCGAACATAAAATGTTTGGTGAATTGCTTGACTTGTGATATTTGCTTTAGATCTATGTTTATGAGCTGAATTTTAACTAGATGTTTTCATAGATAAATGCATCTTTATGTGTGTTGATCTTAGTTTTTTAGAGATAAAATTATTGATGTTGCATGCTACTATCGTCCCAGCATCAGTGTTTATGAGAGTAAACTAAATTATATAGAAATGTATGATGCCGAGTGTTATGCTTCGTTTACTGTTTAATCTATGGTATTTATGAAAGTTAATTCCATTTGGTTGAGTATTTAATTCTTCAGAAATGATTAAGATGTTAATTGATGCATAATTCATAAATATATTAGCACAACATTATCGTTTTGTCAGCTACCAAGTAAAAACAACATTTATAAGTCCAACAATTTGATTGCTTTACTGTTTGCTGTAGCATTCTCCTGCTTTTATTATTCTAATTTTTCGAGTTTACTATTTGTTAGATTACCATTTCAACCCTACATTTTTCTACACTTAGACTCTTTTATAAACAAGTTTTGCTCCTTTTGAGATTCGACACTCGTAACTTTATTGTTATCAATTTATTATTTGATACGGTATGTGCACTAGTGTAAAATGCTATAGCAATTACACAGTATCTGTAAGAACTCAAGACCCATTACAGACGGAGAAGAATGAATCTTGGTGCCAAAAGGTAAACTCCAATCCAACTTAGATAAACCATCAGCTACTGAATTACACTCGTGAGGCGTGTGACGAAACAACATTCCACGAGCAGCGCACTAAAACGGCAATAGGGGAAGCAAAGAAGAAACTCTCCGTAAATTAGAAAATGGTTTGAGAGCCTCAATAGCATCCATACAATCCGTTTCAACAACAATATTATTCCACTCCATGACCCGAGCAAGGCGAAGCCCCTCTTAGATGCCCCATAATTCAGCATCAAGGATTGAACATACACCAATGTACTTTGAGAAACCATCGATCCACACTACAACATGGTTTTGATAGCACCGTCCATGTTCAACTTCACCCAACTATCTAGAGGTGGTTTCCACTTGATACTCCTGTCGATGCGAGAAGTACGACCTCCAATACACGTCACTCTTGATTCCATAGCCCGAACTGCTTCAGCGACCAACCTGGAACTTGTTTGAAACACGCTATCAGACTACAAAGCTTCTGGATCGAAAATTGTTTTGTTACGTCTCACCCATAAGCATCAAATGATCGATACGAAGAGCAACTCTCCATTAATTCTCACATATCCTCTGAAAGTGCAAAAGGTAACGAAGATTATGCTCAACCCAAGTTAAGATGTCCATATTATTAAACTCAACAAGTAAAGCTGCTTTAATTAAACTAGCCCAGACAGCTTGCGTTGGCGCACATTCTATAAAAAGCTTAAGTCATCCGACATATGCCGATGAACACGTTCTTCATCTGAAAGAAGCTTTCCTTTACAAATAAGCCATAACAATAACTTGACTCTATGTAAACCACGATACCTCGATAAAACATCCCAAATTGGACGATTATCACTCATAAAAACCAACGTACTGTTAGCGTAGGCACTTGTTGTAGAGAATTTACGACGACGATCTCATTTTCAACCAGAAATATTCTGACCCCATTAGGAGACGACAGAATGATAGCATCAATTGACAGTAAGGTCAACGGGGGATGGACTTGTCGAAGAAGTTCCCAATTCCAATCACCATTTAAATCCACTATGGAATTAACCTTAGCGTTTATATCAATTTACTCTTCATGGACAAGACAAACCTCAGAAAGAACTCCTGGAATTTCCAGCCAATTATCAATCCAGAATTTAGTGGTTGAGCCATCACCTAGAGACCAGTAAATACCCCACCGTACTTCGTCCCAAACCACGTTCAACCCATTTCAAAGCCTTGTGCAACCATAACAGTTAATGGAAGATGGGACAAGCTCACTCATCTTGTATTTCCCGTGCAAAATACGAGCCCAAAGTTGCTTCTTTTGAGAGATAAGTCTAAAGTTACTTTCATCAAAAGTGCTTTGTTCTGATTATTAAACGTTTCATACCCATACCACCCTCCTTCGTTGGAGTGCACACCTACTCCTAGCAAACAAGGTGAACACCACGTTTTTCTATCGTCCAACCCAGAGGAACTTATGAATAATCCATTTCATCTCCTCGCAAACACCCTTAGGAAGAACACAGTGCTATCACATCGGAAATAACAAAATGCACACAAATTGCATTCAGATTAGAATATATATACTAGTGTACACTCCGGTACACTACAGTATATCAGAATCAGAACAGATAATCATTCCACCTCATGGCATGCCAATTGTACCTTTGACTCTCAATTTAACATACAGTGAGCTTTCAGTTCATTTCAAAATCATTTGATAAAAATCATATCAGAATTAAAAATATATTTAATTCACATTCGTAAAACCTGACATGAGCAGTTCATACCCAAAATTATTCATTAAACTTTTTAAAATATTAGTGATATATTTCCAAACTCAAAACATAATTCATATATTTGAAAATAAACAAGGTGATATTGACTTATCACAAGTAGTCATCAATCATAATAATTAAATAAATAAATTGCACTCACCTCCTTAATACAGAACTTGTATACAATAGTCATAGTCACGAGCTTTGTCATTTCCTTTCGGATCTTTCAGATTGCTAGATTTACCATAGTATGAAAATACCAAATTATAACACAAAATATTTGAACTACAAATTAATATCGTACTAACATAAGCTAATTTTAACATTCGAAAATCTAAAAAATAAAATTCGAGATTAAATCGATATCAACTAAATCACATTTTCATTATAATTTCCAACTTCTCAAAATACTCATCCAAATCCATGAATATTTATTTTTATCCTTAACCCTTCATCTTTTGCTAATTTACACAAATAAGCCACATATTATGAATTCTTTTTAAAATTCACCTCCACCTTTCCATTTAATTCATAACGGTCCTTCACCATTATAATCATTGCACATAAATTACTAAAATTCCAGCACTTAATAAAATACC